TAGCAATTATTACAATGAACGTTATGAGGGTCCTACTTTGATTACAAAACATTTTCATGCCCGTTTGACTCAACCTCGATGGTCTCGATGGCATCATTATTTCTGAGATTTTCCCTAATCTGAAATATTTAGGTGTTTTCTATGGCATACGAGAGAAACGTCTAAGGACATGAATTCATAATCAGCTTAGTCATTTTACACGGCAAACATCATTATGTCTGTAAATAGAATAAGAAAGAAGATAAATTTTGAGCTCGGTAAAGAACGAAATAGAGAAAGTTGTTGTTCGTCTTGTCACAAGCGTGGGACAAAGAATAAAATTCTAACTCTCCATGAGGAATGAGACCTAAGACCTTCAGATTCCGCGCTCCTATGCCCTACAACTGAGCCACAGCGGTGACTCTGTGGTGAGCAAGGCCCAATATGAAGTCCATGCATGACACGCGTCCTGCATACTGCTGGGATGTTTGTTATTAGTTTGATTATTATTGATGTTATTTTCATCATCAAAACTATTAAAAAACAAAAACAAACAAACAAACTAACTAGATATTTTCCTTTTCTACAATTTTTTGAAGCATATCCGCTGCGTTTTAAAACAGAGAAGAACCCATCTGTCGGTAGAATGGAAATCTACACAAACAATAGCTGGGAGAAGCTTTGTACCAGTCAATGGGATGAAGGTGATCTCAATTCAACCTGCATGGCCATGGGCTACTATAACAACGGTGTCTATGTTAATGACACATGGTATGCAAAAAGAGGCAACGCCTCCAAGAAATCCAGCTACCATAACTGCACCATTCCAACTACATGTGAAAAAACCCTGGCAAAGAAACAGCAATATTGCAAAGGTAAAAGTGAATTGTACTCATTTTCCGTATTTTGTACCACGATAACTTCAAGTACATTGACAGAGAGATAAAATGACCTGAGAATAATTGTTCTTCGTCCTCGAGGTTTGCTCAGATACAAGAAAGGTATCAAAAATTAAAAATTCTGCCACAGCTGGCAGTAATGTCACAGTATGACTGGCCAATGTGTTGCGGACTCACTTGACTGCCCCTCGTGAGTCCTCAAACCATTGTCGATTAGTTGATTTTAGCTGTTTTCTACAACTCTAGTTACATGCTCAAAAGAAAACTATTTAATATAGCTGTCGAAATAAGAACCTGCGCTATCATGCATTTAGGGCTCATAAACGTTATAGTACTCAAAAGAATAGTCAAATTGATACTTTTAAATCCTTAAATTCAGCTCCCCTAAAACTTTTTTCTCCTTTTCCTTTTCCATTTTTTCTCTTTTGCGTGCAATAAGAAAATGTCCAAATCTCCAAATGACACCTGAAAAAACGTCTCTTCCTTCAGAGGTTATAGTATATCATATGAATTTCCCGATTGCACTCTCAAAGTTTAGCGTTTTAAAGTTACGAAAACATGCTTTCAAAAGTTCTAAAATACTTCAAATATAAATTGGATCTTGTTTGCTTTCAAGTTAGTATAATGATGAAACTTGCGAGGTGAATCACATGAATGCTTTGATAAAGGGATCGTCGACCACATCGTCTCAAGGAGACTAACAATATGCAGTGTAAACGTCTAGATCCACATTGCAAAACAAATGACACCTGCAACATCGAAACTATTATTTTCCGAACCAATGAAACTTGTAGCCTGACGGACAATAGAAAATAATATGCTGAGAATGTTGAAGAACACAATCAGTAAGTTGGCACTAACTGAATAATTCACTTCGTGATTTATGGCCATTCGTAATGTTTCATCAATTTATCATTTCTATAATTAGCGAATTTTATCCTAATGATTTAACGTTTTATAATTTCCTAAGTTCCTGTTCGCTTGAATGGTGCAAATGTGGAGTATGGAGGAAGAGTGGAAGTATTTTACAAAGGTAAATGGGCAAAGATCTGCAGGAATGAATGGGATTTTGACGATGTCAAAGTTATTTGTCGTCAACTTGGCTTTGAGGAGGCTTTGGCGGAATTCATTGGTTCAGAAGTAAAGGATGATGGAATTCCTTTCGCAATGTCAGATGTCTCTTGCAAAGGAGATGAGTCAGAACTTGCATCTTGTGCTCGTATTGATGGAAAGGTTAATATCCCACCTCAATGTTTATCAGATTGCAAGGGTTCTCAGGCGTTGTGTAAACCAAGTAAGTAGTTGATTATCAAGCCCAAAAGGTGAATCTGTTCTCTTGTGTTGTCTCTCTTCCATGGTTAGACATTTTAGGGTAAAGGAAAATCAGCTAAAAAAACTCGGAGCTATAGATGATTAGTAGCTCTTTTCTGAAGAGTGCCTTTTGGAGTACGGCTTGCGAAAAAGCATATATTTTTTTCGCATATTTTACACTTAAGATAAAGATATGACTCGGACTGGCGGTGACATGGCTTGGTTTGGGGTGACATGACTAAGCTTATTGGTGATTTTACTAAGTTGATCTGAGGTAATATGACTCAAGTGAATTAAGCTAGGGCTCAAATGACTTTTATGGGGGTTTCAATGGCTCTTTATCGGATTTCATGACTCGGTGAAGGGTTACCTAGGTCTTTCAGGGTCTTCACGTCTTTTCAAAATTTGGATGTAACATAAATTGACAACGTTTGACATGACTTTGTGTGGAGTGATGTAACTTAGCCTGATATAAGGTAGGAAAAATCTACAGATTTGTCAATTTAAGGATTGATATAGGTAAATATACTCATCTTACCTTTCTCTACCTGTGATGGTATTCTAAGTGAAATAATTTTTTTATAACATCCTCTAACTGAACCATTTCTTGCAGAGAACAATAAAGTGTTGGACAAAAAAGAACTCTATTTTGATATTGGTACCAATGAAGAGCTTCAATGCTCAATACATAATGAAACCAGTTATACAAGATGGGCCATTAATGGTCAAACCGTCAACTCTACTTATCAAAGAATCAGAACTAAAGAAACTGGTGAACTGTTCATTGACAAGGTGCAGTTGTCTGATGCAGGATTATACGAATGCTACAGATTGGAATATGTTCAATATTACGTTGTCTACGTTAATGGTAAGAAACACATCTTTTCAGCTTACAGAGATACAGGCGCAGGCTAAAAATGCAGGATAATGAAGGGTAAGATAACCATACTACTGACCTTTTAATAGTGCTGCTATGATATTGGGGGCTCTTATCACTTCTTTCCACAGCAAAATATACTAAGAACACGCTAGACGAACAAACCTTGACTGCGGACACATCCGGTTTATTAAACTGCAGTGCTGAGGGAGTACCAAGCCCACAGATATCTTGGAGCAAAAAAGGAGGAAACTTTTTAGACCACATACGATTTAATCAAGTATCCGACGGGAGCCTACTTATTAGCCCCGTAAATTCTGAAGACAATGGGACATTCATTTGTAAAATGAAACAAACTAAAGGACCAAAGAGGATCACAAGCAATGATAAAACCATATTTGTGACAGTTATGGGTGAGTAACAAATGGGGGTAATATATAGCCATGTGAGGTGAAACCACATCATTATTACATTTGTTGACTTAAGCTGTTTTAAAAAAGGTATCGTGTTAAATAGTTATCGCTTTTTTTTCTAAACTTTCATAGTAAAGGTTAGCAGTAACTGCAGAAACCGGACTTCCCATCACTGTGCCTTCTGTCTGCTTGTAAATTTGTCCGTTATAATGGAAGACTACCGTCAACAGATCTTTATACGAAGTTCGAGGGATCTGTAATATGAAAAAAACAAACAAACAAAACTATATTTTTAGTCAAGTGCTAATATTATCATCGAAAATTCTAGTGCTTACGGCCAAGCTTTTGATATCTCACCCAATTGATATCTATTTTGCTCTTTAAAAGTCTATCCACGACAGGACCAGGCAGGCGTGACACATGCCATCTCACCGATTTCTGTGAAACTTTCACAGACGATTAAGGCCATAAAGTTATTCAAGATTCCAAAGTAGTTTGAGCTCCCGGTTAATCCCTGGGGTACAAGGGGTTTCACATCAAATCCCATGGATAAAACCACGAAAATTGTACTATCCAAAAAGATCTCCCACACTGATAGAATGCGGTGGATTTTGATCTAAT